GTGAGAATTCTCAAATTAGTTAAAAATGCACTAACAGATTTAGGGGTGACTGAAGATTGGCCACCTAACGATCTCTGCAATTGTTAAGTTATTAAACACCTTAGTTGGGTAACCAAATTAAATGCTTGAGGCCTACTAACCTGTTTCTAGGCAAAGCCTGAATCCTCAATAGTCAATCACCTTTTGATAAGAATATGCAAAGTCATTAATAACTGGGATATACATATAACAAAATAAACAAGCAATGTCTACTTCATACAGTATATCAGCAGCATTGATTCAATATAAGATAAGCCGGTCACCCTGCATATATATGGCCTTTCTCGACGAGGCGCTCATGATCAAAGGCGCATTATTCATTTACTTGACACTTCAATTTCATTATTTCGGTCTGTGTACAACGGTGTGCGAGCGTGCGCCGTGGGACAAGGTCATCGCTGGGCAGCGGGGATCCGCCTGCCCGCCCCAGTAGAACTCCCGCGCTGCCACCGTGGCGCGTCCTGGAATTTTCCGCAGTCGCGCAAGAGGCGAATCATTTGGCGAAGATCCCCGTCTCGAGACGCACGCGCTCGGGATGATCACCGAGCACTGAACGGCGGCGTGGGGGAGCCCAGGGCGTCCGAGTTGTGCAGCGAGCGGCGACGGCAGTGGCGGCGGCGGCTGCGACTAAACCCCTGGAGACGGCCACCATCGCTAATGAACCCCCCGTGGCGTGAATCACGGAGACACGCCGTAAAAAAAACGAGTTACAAATCGGCGCCTACCACTCAGCACCTTGGCTGGATCAACGTGTCCACGCGTCTCTTCCCCAAGCACTCGTGTCCCGATAATCATCACCATCATCGTAAGCCATGATCCATCCACTGCTGGATGAAAACCTCCCTCCACCTGCCCCCTTCCCCCAAGACCGTCGCCGAGAGGGACGATTAACCAATTCTGGCGCTCCCCGTGAGCCATGAGACGTTCACGAGACAAACGAGGCGCTGTCGGCGTGCGCGCGGCACGCTGCCTACTCCCGAGAGAGAGGAGAACCTTTCGCAAGAACAGCTTCATCGAGTGGGAGCAACAACAACAGAGGTTAACGGATGTTTGGTTCACCGTGGAAGCCACCTTCAAATTTCACAATTCCTAATTTGCTCTTATGTAACGCCCTAATTGCCTTCATTTAAATGAATGCGAATCACCAAGACGTCTCTTACCTCCCACCCCAAACCCCGCGATTGCCTGTTGCGTTTTCGAGAATGCGGAGAATGTGATGGGAGGGCTGAACACGTGTTAACCTCGCGGGGATATAGTTTCGAGATTCGCCGAGATGCATTAATTTAAATCTTTGACTAACGTTGCAATTTAGCTTTTCTATATTCGCAGTTTCTCAACGAGCCGTGGGAGCCGTCTGTCCCCTCTTGTGAGCAGAACGTCGACAAGGTGGCATGTGAATTTTAATATCGGTTCTTTATTTTCCGACCAAGGGCCGCTGCACGGAACGATCACTTTGTTGCGTTCTCACGAGTGTCTTTTGCGTGTGTCAGAGGAGAGTGGAGCGCCCAGAGAAAACGCATAAACTACACGAAGCACTCGTCGATTTGTTGTACTGCCGACTAAATGTGCCCTTGTTCTGGCATTTGAGTGCTGTGCGCATGATGGAATGTTTTCATTATGAACAATCAAACCTCGGCTCGTTTATTTAAAATTGTGAGTCACCATATTGGGCTTAGATTTTGTATGGCCACAGCAATATTTCCCCCAGTAGAGTCCACACGTTGTTATTAGCGGGGCAAGTGCTTTTTGCGAGCACCTATGAAGGCCGGAACGGCACACGAGGGGGTGGAGTGGCCAGCACCACGCCCGGCCGCCTTTGTCTCCCCAGCGATAATTACACATCGTACTAATATGTAACCATGTCGAACGAGGGCAGAACCAGGACAGGTTCAGATAATACTAACTGATGATGTTAGCCGTGGCCAGGAATCGAACTCAAGTGGCCTGGTTCATAATTGCAGTGTGCTAACCACTGTGCTATCGCTCCACACAAACACAGATGGAAAAGATTCCAGCCAAAAAATGCCGCTGGTAAATAACAATTACACAACAAAAACGCAGCGCTAAATAACAGTAAAAATTGGCAAGCACACAAGCACTCTTGAGTTGGCAAAGCGAGTGGCGGTTGCTTTAACATCCCTGCCACAAAAAAGACTGCGTCCCAACCCCCGTGGTCTCCGGGGACAATGGGGGCCCTCGCTCTCAAAAACCAGCCAGCGGCTGCGGCTGAGGGAGTTCGAGGGCGGCTCAGAGCGCCAATTTGTCTTCATCGAAGGCGGCGGCTCTGAAGGCACCTCACGGCGTGTTGGCGCACCCGCCGCGCCCGCTGTTTTATTTGCCAAGTGAAACAAAATGAATCGCGTCGGGCGCCGACACCTGGTAAGCACACACGTCGCGCATGCCAAATTGTCAAATGGCATTCGTAAAAAGGTGCAGCCCTGCAATGATTTTCTCACGCCACTGCTGACAGCAGGGGCCTCCAGGAGAGGGAGCTCTATGGAGCCCCCCCCCCCCCCCTCATGGGAGGATATTTTGGCTGACTCCTCCACGCTGGCCAGACGTCTTGGAAGGGGTGGGCTTACCCACATGTGCGACCTGCTGAGCGACTGCCGTGTACCCAACAGAGGTGGGGTGGATTCTTAAGCACGATTGAAGATCAATATGAATTATTTCCTCTTCCAGTAAATGTAATTACAAGACTGCACGTGGGCAAGTTAAAGACCTCGTATTTACTTGATAAAAGTGGGCTTGGGCAGGAAACATCACAAAGACGAATGCTGGGCGGTGGTCAAGACTGACGGTGGAGTGGCAGCCAAATGAGAAAATACAGCGGAGAGGGCACCCACCAGTGACGGAAAAATAAGGTCTACTCATGAACAGATCGATGGATTGCTGCCTCGCGAGACCATGAGATCGTGACGGCCTGGGAAGACCTCATCCAGCAGTGGATAGATCCTGGCTGGTATGAATAATTTTTTTGTAAAACTTAAATGCAAAATAATGTTGAAAGCAATCATTTTATTTCGTTGATATTAAGACAACGGGGCTCCATCTGACCATTTTATTTTACGGATAAAAACCGTTATGGCAAAATTTAATGCGAGCAAATGTTATGAGAGATGTTTAATTTCAAGAGTAAACACAAAAAACAATACGTTTTGTTATAAAGGACGTAGTCGACTTTACGTAAGCATGATTAAATGCCACTCGCACCTCTGATGAGCACGGTTGACTACGTACGGTGCGAACGAAGTTCAACATACAGTACATAAATAAAAAAAAATTTATTTAAAGCTTTCGTGACTGCAGGGATTCATATTCTTGGTTCTTTCCGTAAAGTCACGTAGAAGGGAAACAATAAAATAATAAAAATATAAAACAATAAAATTCTCACGACGTTTCGTCTGCAACACAAGCAATCATCATCAGTTGTGAAAACCACAAGAAAATTTGAAAAAAGTGGCAGTTTTTTAACGTTAGCACCACGGAGAGCGATTTGACAGTTTGTTCAGATGGACGAGTCCATTTATGTTCGGAAAAGAGGAGGGGGGAGACGAAAAATAATGGATGCGGTCTGAAAGCCACCTTAAGCATGATCAATCAATTAAGACCCGAAATGGTTGATCAAATCCTTCCAATGATTGCTAAGCCAGAAGCCATCTTCTCGGTTGAAATTGTCTCTGTGTTTGTATATGTGGATAGCCTCATGAACGAATCTCTCATGGTAGCCAGATGGCTTGCAAAGAACCTCTGTCTTGGAGAAGTCAATGTCATGTGAACCTACTGAATTATAAGTGATCTGCCACGGCCGAGGTGTTGGTCCAACCGTGTTTCAGGTCTGCTTTGTGTTCACGAATGCGGTCCGAGACATGTCGTTTGGTTTCTCCAATGTAACTACTACCACAGAGGCAACTTAGTTTGTAGACGCCAGGGTACTGTATGTCCGGAATCACATCTTTTACAGACGGAACCAGATCACAAATTTTATGTAATGTGTTGAATCGGACCTGGATCTTGTGTTTATTCAAGATTTTGGAGATCTTTTTTGTGATCCCCGCAATGAAGGGTAAAGTGATGGTTTTGAAAGGCTCCTCAAGAGGGTCCTTCTTCATGGTTGGAGTGATAGCTTTGCGGATTGTGTAATCAGAATAACCATTAGCCTTAAGAGCTTGGTGTACGTGCTTGAGTTCACTGGCTATGTGTTCCTGGTCGGATATGCATTGGGCTCTATGGTGCAGAGTCTTGATGAGGGAATTCTTCTGAGATGGATGGTGGTGATGATGATTGCTTGTGTTGCAGTCGAAACGTCGTGATAATTTTATTATTTTATATTTTTAGAATTTTATTGTTTCCCTTCTACGTGACTTTACCGAAGAACCAAGAATACATAAATACACTCGCAGCTTAATGTGCAATTGCATCACAATATAAGCCTCGGTCAAAATCATCCGCAACGCACCCGATCTCGTCATACTTCTTCCGAAGCTAAGCAGGTTTGAGTCTGTGTCGTGTTTGAATGGGCGATCGCCACGCACAACAGCCGGTATCGACTGCTGCTACTGCTGCGAGGTTATGTTGCAGGCAGCAGAGGGCAGCGGATCAAAATCCATCGCACTGCACTTCCCCTGCCCCCACGTAAATGCTCCCCCACCCTCCTAAACCCGCAGCGATCACCATGAAGCGGAGCAAAATAACCCCCCACAACACATGCAGGCGTGGGGAGGCACCCAGCCAGAAGTGAGTCTACCGAGGGCTGCACGTGCGTGGGCCGGCTGCAGATGCAGCGGCAGGGGCGGAGAGGCATGAAAGCCGACATTCTGAGTTCAAACAGCTGGCTTGACATTCGGTCTCGTTTCATCAGAGACACTACCTCCAGGCTGCACCCCACAGATGCACCCGTGCACTGCAAGATAATTTATTATGTGCATAAAATCACCTCGCCTCAAAGTCAAACACACTTGTGGAGAAATGGAGTTTGAATTTATTTTCCGAGATTTCTTGCTTGTGGCACTTCACAAGGGATTATTGAACATCAATCGCATTTTTTCTGTATATTACCGCGTGCATGTCTTATAAAACAGATCAAAGCGTACAATGCAGCAGACGCGAAGCAATCACAATTCAAGCGGGACGTGCACTCAACGCAGCTTTAGCAACACGCCCTACGTATTATCAACTTACGCTGAAACGCAACGCTTCTCCAAATGTGAAAAAAAAACATTGAATGCGATTCCTTCTTGAAATCACCCGAACCAGGAATTGTGCTCTTTTAGTAAAAAACACACCAACAAATCGTAAAATTCAAAATATTATTCACATCCACCTGAAGCAGTGCGGGTTACATTTTTCGGAATGAAACGGTGCAAGAACTGTACGCATCTGCACCCCTGCATTGAGCATCAACAGAGATTTGTGCTCATGCCATTTTACATGATGCCTGCTAATCTCCCTAAGGATGTGTTCGACGCCTTTTAATGGCATCTCAGCTTATTAGAGCGCTCTCATGAGACCGCATTACTAAATTATAGACGAGTGTATTTTCTCTACGTACGACACTTCGGCAACGTGCCAACGAGTTGTGATACGCATTGCCAGCCGCCGTCACGGTGCGGGGCCCCAGTGTTGCTCCTGCCATCAAGCCTGCACGCTCCTGTGCCCGCGGGTCGTTACACGATACAAGTTGTCTCGGCGTTTACCCTGACAAAGCTCCACAACGGCAGTACAGCGCAGACGAAAAAACACAACCTTCATCCCAAATAACACCAGCTTCGTTCGCAAATTGCCTGCGGGTTTTTTTAGGATCCACGTAAAATGACTCGCGGTGATCTCCTGAGCTGCGTCGATTTGACACGAAGGCAAACGCCGTGCGTAGGGCTAGAGCCTTCGACACAGCTTAAAGAGCACGCGGCCAGTGACAGTCGGCCACACCAGGCAAGACGCAACCGATACGCTACCTGCCATTTGAATTGCCAAGTGGTACCGTGATGGCAGTGAGATCGTGACGGCTTGGAGAGGGGCCTGCACCCAGCAGTGGATTGATCATGGCTGGTGGCGATGACTGGAAAGGGACTCGATGAGCATCTGTAGGTGCTGCGGCCAATATGTACAAAGAGGCGCAAGCAAATAAAAATGCCAGGACTTTTCACTTGGCCGTGAGTTGGTTCTCTTTGTTACTTTGGCGCATTAAACAGAGCACTTCTGAATGTGCTTCACACTTTAAATACGTGTGATGAGCAGGTTGTGAAACAGCGGTGGTTAAATCCAGGATTTCAGGGCTTCACTGAAGACAAAGCAATACCAGAGTAAAGCAAATTGAGCATGGGAGACGGTAATTTGAAACATACTTGCGCTCGCGCGAACTCAAGCTCTCTGCGGGAGCCATGGGAAGTGATGCCGATCGTGCACTGCTGTTCTGCACAATGTTTCTCACGTGGCCTCATGGAAGATCTTCGTTTTGGAACTACGTCCACATAATGCTGTGGAGGTCTTTGTTAAGGATACCAAAGTTCCGCTCGGCAGAAGCCCAAGGTTCAAAAACCGGGTTCTCTAATCTAGTGGGTCGATGGTCAGAAGTCAGAGCGCTGAGCTGACAATGATGAGAGCCTGGGTTCGAGCCCAGGAAACTGCTGCGGACTCAAGAGTAGTGAAGTGAGGAACTCAGAAATTGGTTACCAATATAGTCGCACTACAAAAATATCTTATTTTAAAGTAATTTAGCACTTATTTGACTACATTTTGTTCTGAGAATGAAAAATATCTGTTTGACTGTCAGGTGACACCCGTCCTGCTACACCCGAAGCAGGACGGGTGTGAATGTGCTGTCTCTGTGTGGACCAGAGGTCACTTTAAGGGATCTTTCTACAATGTCTGCTTCAAGAGGCTGTTTTCTAACACGCGGGGCTGAACTGATGTGAAATTTCTAAATGGATTATTGGTCTCGTGCTGTGACGCCAATAACACAATTGGAAAAACATTGGGTGAAAAGATTTAAATTTACAGGCATTGTGTATGTTTAAGAAGACACCCACTACCCCAGTACATAATTTACACATTGGCAACAATAACTTCAATAGGGTAATTATCCAGCATACAAATTTGACACTTTGAAAGTCTGAAGTGCAGCGCTTGAGAGCCAAACTACAAAGCTATAATCCTGCAATGCGGCTGGCAGAGTTCCATACTTGAGGTAATTTTTTTACTTTTCTGGCTGAAAATCATTCCCTAAATGGGTGTTTTTTGTTATCGCCACAGCAGTCGGCTTAAACACTCCATGCAGGAGCGAGCCGCTGGTATTCCATGGGATCCGCACAAATCGGCTTCCAAAAAAAGCAGTCGCGTGAAGCAATTTCTGAGACGGCACAGAGCGCTCGTTTTAAATTGAACGCAAGCAAACAGCAGCAGCAGCAACACGCGACTCGTCACGTACGGTGGCTTCGCTGCTTCAGAGCTCAGGCACGCCATACACTTAAGTAATCAACCCCATCACAAACCCACAACGGGCTGGGTGTTTAAACATGGAAATTATTGACGTGAAAGTGAGGATAGGACAAAACAAATATATAATTTCATCTGCCCTCTTTAGAATCTCTTAAAAATCTCAAGGGTTAATATCTTCACGTTCGTCAGTGACGCACACGCCAATCCGATCGCAACTTACACTCGCAGCGAGCGACCTGTCGTCTTGGCGTCTGCACGAGTCATTACCGACGAGAAGCGCTCACCAAGAGCGGGCGTAAAGACGCCGCCGCCACGGCAGGCAAACGGGCGTCACAGCAGTCTGAGCACCAGTCGTCCGAGGTTCAAAATGCTAAGCAACAAGACGGGAAAATTCATACTCTCAACAGACAGTTCACGCATTAGGGACATGCCATTGTGCTTGTGTTCTGTTTACCACTGAATGCTTGGATTCAGTGCTGTTATAAACAATCGCATTTAATTTTAATATTCAAGAACATACTTTATTACGTCGCGGTGTGAGTGTGCGAATGCACTGTATATTTTTGCGCGTTAAGAGCAATACGCACTTTGGAAGCCCTCGGCGCTCGCATAAGCATTGCATGCGGCACAACGTTACTCTTCCACAGTCTGCTTTCTCTCGACGATTAAGCGTACGCACGCACCCAGAGCGATGCATAAATTAACCAACAGCTGCCGAGATGCCTTTGTGACACATTCACTACCCCTGCTGGCTTTCCTTGCATTTTTTATATTAACATATGATTATTATGATTGTTTAAACAGGAAAGCCTCGCTGAGTTTCAAGACTCTTTTAGCCAATACCAGTTAGCAATGGGGATTCGAGGAAGCCAAAACAGAACAGGGGGAGAACATAACAATTTTGGACAGCAAGGCGTCCGAGTCGGGAATTGAACCCAGACCCTTCTTGCTGCGAGGCACAAGTGTTACAACTGCGCCACCACCCTGCCGTCCCATCTGCTCCTAAGGCCGCTAGACGCGGTACGGAGAGCCGCTCTCGGAGATGCATTAGCCGGTGACTCTCACGGGGCTCTGATGGCGGAAGGCAGGAGCGCCACAAGACAGCCAGCGCCAATTCTCTGCAGCGGCTTCGCTCAGCGCGCGTAATTAAAGCGTGCAAAGCTTAATTGTGTTTACATATTTACATCGTGATATGAAAATTAACAGGGAGTGTGCAACCACTCCAAATGCCATTAAATAACAGTCGGCATGGACTCTTCAATTACCCTGTCGCGGATATGCCTCTCGCATAAGCAATTTGGGAAACGTTGCGGTTGCAAATTGTGCTCGTTGGCAAAATAGCCCGAGAGCAAAATTGCTTCTGATGAAAATGAATGAGCTCTGCAAGCTTGCGTATCTGGGTCATGCACTGTGCACCTGCGCAATTCTGTCCTACCGGGGGAGATGGTGCACGCCAGGCTTGGTGAGCAAAGTGACGTGCGTGCCGAGTGCTTTACCTGAGAAGAGCAACCAGTCCGGCGGGCATAACCTTGCCCGACTTTTGGAAGCGTATTCCCATCACCAAGCCCAGCACCACTGACACAACTGCACACACCCGTCAGTCAATGCGGTCATTGCGTACATATACCTGTCCACGCAATTTACGTACACACGTGCATGTGAAAGCGCCCGCACACCTCGCTATGTACAGGTCTGTTCTAGGGAATCGTGCCAATGTGTCTGAACTGCTCTGTTGAGCGTCGCAGTACACCAAGCCTTGCACCGGCACCGTGCCGACGTCACCACCACTTGGCAGATGTCGTGCGCAATTGACGACGGCTATCGCACCGAATCTCAGCAACTCTGTTCACGTTTACATCACTATATCTATTTTTTGGCGAGAAATGCTTCGTGGTGTACGTGTTGTTTAAACAGGAAATTTAGTAAATAATAGGATGGCTTACATACGCCACAACGCCGTAAAAACAGGTGGCAGCAATAACCATTTGGATTAAAAGATTTAGAAATAATTGTGGTTGCCTGTAAGAGGTATGGTGCTGCACAACAACATACCGTGGCAGAGGAATGTCTCCACAACGAGGCACTACACAGGGCTTCCCTTGCAGTCTGTGCAGGGTCCATTAACCTAGCTCTCTTTGTTGTGTGAAAAATGGTATGTTTCCGCTGTTTCATATAACACACTGGACACCCTCATACCTCGGTGAGCTCGGCTAAATCTGCTGCCGTGTTATCACAACCACTTAATGGCAGTCCGGCCCCCGATTGCTAACTGGGCAGGTGGGCACAGCCCAGTTTCCCATTGCAGCCTTGCCAAGCCTAGCCATGTGCAACTAGGTCATGTAGCACTGGGCTACATGGCTCACTTTCCAGGATGAGCTATTTGCTTTTACCCGGGTTGCCCTTAGAAACAGTCGTGATGTCACACAGTCGGTGTGTCTCAAAGTAGGTCGAATTCAGGGTTGTGTATTCATCATTTAAAAAAGAAACAGTGCAGAAAACTACAAAAAAATTATAGATTTTAGCTTGAGATAGCGTAAAGCTCGTCCGGGATTGCATTAAACCTTGCAAAAAAATAAATTACGATAACTGCCCTGCGGCAGCTAAGGGAAACCAAGGGACGGAGAGGAGGAAGTGGGTCCACGCGGCAAGAACGCTGGGGAGGTGACACGGTGCTGTGCTAGCTCATTTGCAACTTGCTGTCGAGGTCCCGCAGGTGAATTAACCACGAAATACTATTCACCGTCCGCTTCACAGTGGACGTTACAGATCCCATTACGTCAGCTGAAATAAGTAAGCCATTGTGTGACGAAGTCATGGTCCAAATTTGACACGTTTTTAATTCTATCGGCGAATGACTCAATTTGGATTACCAATAGCAACATTGCTGACTTCCGAAAATACTGCAGACCATGTCTGTGAAAAAGTACCTCCTTCGTGAAAGCCTATAACCCAAAAGAATTGGGTGAATACCAAATGCAATGGTGATTCGATGACTGGGACAAGAAACAAGCCAAGATTGACCAAACACAGATCAGGTGTGGTTTCGTTTAAAGTTAAGCAATCATTTGTGGCCAGGTTGCTCTGAAAAAGAGTTACATAGCTCAGTTGGCCTTACCTGGTAAGAAACTAACGAAATAATGGGTGTGTAAGCATAGCTCAAGACTCAATCGAAGTTTCTTTGCACAATCATTGGCAGGCGAACCAAAGGTGCCACACACAACGATCCTTTATTACCCCGGGGCTGTAACCCAAGCTGAACTTTGACCTGAAGAGATGCTCAGCCCCGTGGACAACCCACACGCCACACGCCACACTCTCGCTTCAGGTTTTATTTGACATGTAATTCCACGGGGAGAAGCAAAGCCAAGAGCAGACATCAATCACAATTCCACTGCTTGCCAATTCAGTGGAAGCAACGATGGAAGATGTTATTGTTTAAATCAATATTTTGGGGATTTTTTTGTTCAATTTATGACAAACTATATTTTCTCCACATTCGTATAATATATTTATCTTGAGCACAACTGAAAAAACAATCACAACACAGGGAAGAGCTGTTTAATACGTACTCCATAGTTCACTCAAACCATATATGGGCACTCCTAAGATTGCAATCATACTGTTTAATCATATACATGTACACACGTGTAGACATACTGTACAGTATATGCCAGAATGCAAACTTTCAAACACAACACCAAATCTAATGAAACACAAACATGCTGACACCAGGGTCTGCAAAGCCAGAGGGTAATGAGTTTCTGTGGCGATGGCTCTCAGAGTACAAGCAAACAGGCCCACACATTAGGTGGCTGCTTACAGAGGTCGTCTATACGGATCACAAGCAAGCACACGGCGGGGGGGGGGGGGTACAATCACCTCCCGGGTGCATGGGGTGAATTCAATCGTGTTCTGTTCTGTAGGGCTATATAACGCATGCGTCTTAACTACACGAGCGTTCCCCATCACAGCCAAAGCTCTCACCTCCACCGGCATCATGCCTTTAGATTTGCGCAGATGGTCCATTACTGCTTAGGTCACCGAGGGCAGCAAATAAAGCGGTGCTGTGCAATAACCCACCCTTAGGGCTTCCATAACCCCACATGGCTACTGTCACTGCTCGTGTCAAGGGCTTCAAGAAGTGGATTAGGAATGTAACTTTGCAATAAGCTTCCTAAAATTGTGTCAAACACAGAGCTCCTTTGCTCTCAGGCAATGACATTTATGCAGAAATGCTGACCAACAACATTTCTACAAAGATTTCTACGTTGGTGTCACGTTGACATTTATCAGCTACAAAACAATTAACTGGCTGAGAAAAATGTATCTCATGGAGCTCCTGTGTATTAAAGGTTTATGGGCTTAAGCTTTGTCTAAATATCTACTCGGGAGTCCTAATGTCACAGACAAGTGTTCCATATGTACAAGACACCATGTAGAACTATAACATTACAAAATTGTATATTCCTTTGTCAGTCCACTGCTGAATGGAGGCCTCCCGACACCATATTGGTTATGGAGTTTGTTTGACCAGACAACACCGCACTGCTCACTGGGGGTTGGTGAAGGAATAGGAGGAAGCCCAGAGCACAGAACCAGATCAGTTATCACTCGCCACAGATGTAAGCTGTCGAAAGGAATTTAACTCAGGTGGCCCGGTTTGTCGCAATGCGCTAACTCCTTTATCATCAATCCACCCAGGTATGAAAAAAACGTGTTATTTAACTATCTTCCATTGCATATTTAAAGGCAACACCCTTAAGTCTTTATGTAAAAACTATACTCTTTGATATTAAAGAAAGTAATTTTTAAATAGTTCTCAAAGGGTGCGACAAAACCTCTTTGAGATATTTTATAAAGACATTTTTAAATCACCTTTCACATCCCGATCACGTGCATCGTTATGCTGACAATAAAGCAGTTGGCACAAGAAACCATGATCACGTGGAGTTCTGAGTTCCACATCAAGAGTACATGGAAATTTTTATAAAAATTACTGCGTAGATTTGCTATTCGTGTAATTATTACAGCACAGGACTACCACGAAGACACTAAGTCTCACAATAATATATAGTCTGCCTATAGGGGGCAATGTTGTTAAGTGCAATTCCCATTCAGAAATTAGTGGATAACTTTTCAAATTTGTAAAATGTGGATAATGACACCGGCGCACTCTTTTAGAATGATGTCAAGGGATCTTTAATGCCCACTGTGAAGCAGGTGGCACGTATTCTACAGTTAACACACCAACAGTTTTGTCCAGGGTGGCTTTCCGGCTTCAAACAATGAACCTCGACAACAAGCGGAAAACCCATTGCAGCTGGGCCACATCACTGCCCAACGTGCTCATTTTAGTAGGTTGGATAAAGTTTTCTGTGCATGTCTTTAAACTTTGAAATACATTTACATAGCAGGAAGAATGTGAAATACGCCGGCTAATGGAAAGTGTCCACTGCCAAGAACACACGGTGACGAAACGGTCACTTACACGTGCGCACACACACAAGCGTGTAGACTTTGCCCACTGTAGAGGAAATTAAACGTACCTAAAGATAGCAGAATATTGTTCGGGTCAAAGGAGAGCTGGAATGCACCGAACTCCAGCAGCAGTCCGAAGATCAAGCCGGAAATCAGGGACGGAAATGAGCCTGAAAACAGACATGGAAAACTCCATTATCGGCTATGTTCAATCCACTGCTGGATGAGCCCGCTCCCCAAGTCATCTCCATCTCTCATGGCCCTGCAGTGTAACAATTCAGCGAGCAGCGGCTGCACAAAAGGTGATTTCATCAATTTCATCTCCACAGCGGATTGTATTCTGCTCCATCACCCAAGAGGAAATTGGCACTGAAGGAAATGGCAAATATCGTAGATTTCAGGAGATATGGGCTTTAAAAATGCGATTGCAAATCTGAATGGGTTAACAACTTAAATGTGCACTCATTTCGTTGTCAATTTGTGATTCATATTTAATACTAAGCTAATAACTGGGTCTTACATTGTTCTTTCTTTAATTGCCATCTCAAGGCACGTGTCAATTTTGAACATTACAGACTATAAAATTACGAAGATAAAGAACATTAAATATTTAATATGGTATTTGAAATTACATATTTATGTATTCATGTATAATTAAATGTGACTGAAGGTACAGTATTACCATTATTCATAAAGCCTTGGTGTACAAAAAATCTGTAAAAATCGACAAGACATGAGCCAAAACAAGCAGACATCTTAGATTTAATATTCAAAGCACAAAAAGATGTACTCGGATATAATACAGCAGACTGATGTTCACGTGTCATACATTGACAACTCGACTGAAATAGCTCGCCATCATTTTCTACCACTGTCTCTCCACTGCTAGGTGTTCAGTACATTTAAACAAAATTAACATTGCAGCTCCTTATCAATCCATCCCTGGGGTAATGCTTCCTCATACATAGTCATGGGAGGTTTTTTGTCCGTACTTCATATTGACATGAATAGAGCGGCAGCTATAAATCAATACGCTGGTCAATGCGGTTTGGCAACCAGTTCCAATATAACACGCCACTGACATTAGCCGTGGTCGGGTATCAAACGTTTGGGTTAATCACGCAGCGAGTGTAGATCATACATACCCTTCCTCTTGTAGCCAAGAACCCCACCAGCAATCACCAAGGAGCCAAATCCAAAGCCATACCAGTCAATCGCCATGGCTACAAATGTATTTTGGAAATCTGCAACACAAAGGCATCATGCTAGTGGTTGTAACTTTCACTGAAGAAATACTGCACGTTTACTTAATAATAATAAAAAAAGTCAATCTCATGGCCATTAGATGTCTTGCATCTTAGTCAAGGTGTCCCCCATGCCAACTTTTCATGACTGATGATGCTAAAGAAATCACCCCAACCCTTGTCCATCACCTCCAGTCCAGTGGCACATGTGGAAAGATACTTTATTTTACAACTAGTTTTGTGGTTATCCGATTAGTGTAGAAATCGAACCGGTAAACATTAGTGCGAGATATATATGAATTAGTCCTGCACCCTTCCCGACTCAACCAAACCTGCACCGACCAGCGTGGAGAAGTATGACCAACACAGAGGTCTTCGTGCAGCAGTGAATTGACAAAACTACTTTACACTGCTTGTTGTAGGTTTGTTGAAAAGGGCTGTTTCATGCATTCCTCACGTCAAGCCCCAAGACAATTACACATTCCTTTGTCCAGAACAAATGTACCATACCTACTGCTGACACCTGGATCACAAACATGAACACTGACAAAAAAATGGAACAAAAGCTGTAAGGTGCACAAAGAAAAGTATGGAAAAGTGAACGATTGGAGTTACACAGAGGCAGAAATGGAACTCGCGGCTTATATAAAGACCATGCAAAAGCTAGGGGCGTCATATTTCCTGCCAAGTGGGTTTGTGTCGAATAAGTCTTCTCGAAAAGAGATTAAATAAAGGTGGTGGAGACAAACGATGGCGTGGCAGCCAAAGGAAACAACACGGCCGAGATGGACGTCCATCGCAGGTTGGCGGAAGGATTCAATCAGCCTCGTGTGGAGGAGCAGAGATGGATTGTTGCGTCGCAGACCCCTGGGGGTTGGCGAAGACTTGGGGAGGCCTTCATCCAGCAGTGGATTGATCACGGCTGATGACTGCCCACGTGGAGGAATGCACATTCGAGACGTCTCACCTCTCAAATTAGCATTGGAAGGCTGAGCCAGCGGTCTAAATTCCACGTTATCATGGCGAGCTCAGTCCAGCCTTGGTAACACGGACAGGTCATGCGTATACAGCCCCCGGCCAAACGACTGCTGGATGAGGGTCTCCTCCTAACGCCGTGGCAGATCGTGGGTGTTATTTGTTTAACCATACTTCACCACTCTGGTCACTGCGAGTTGGTGAATGTGGGGAGCATACGAGTACAGTCCAAGTTAATGTTGTTGTTGTTGCTGCAGCTCCCTCTGTTGTCCACCACGCGGCCGAAACAACTCCGCTATCCATATAACCAGGCTCAACGCTTGCTTAGCTTTCAAAGTCTCCGGCGCATACCGAATGACATGTCTAACATTCGGCGATAAGTGACGTTTTCTCGGGGTTTATTTTCGTTTAATCCGTCAGTGTGCGGCGTCTAATAGGACCGTAATAAAAATGAAACAGTGTAGACTTTGTTATCGTTGTTACAGTTGTTAAAGCGGCTAGGCCAGAAGCCTTTAGACGGAGTGCGAAGGAGCCGCTCCCGCTTGAATTAAAGCCGCCAACGTCAAAACGATACAAAACGCGCGCGGTTATTAAAGGAACAGCGTTGCAAGTCGTTGGGCACATGAATGTTGATATTTTACACATGAATGTTGATATTTTACAATGCGATTATTAAATGTTTGATAAATGTAAGCAGCGGAGGGAAGTTTACCGGTGCCGGGTTCGTGTTGTATGTCGTCCCGAGAGGACACGCCCACTGAGCGGGACGGACCAATCAGAAAGCGGGCTGTGACGTCACGCATAAATGATGAGATATATTAATAAATAGCTTTTTAAAATTTATGAACGAAATAATTGAACAATTCAATTCCTCGTGAAAATAATAAGCTGGGTAAGGTAAAAAAATAAACAATTGACCTTTTGGTAACGATTCACGTGTCAAATTTTTAAATGTTAATCAGGAAGCATGTTTTACGTTTCCATAGCTGTTAGCCCATTGGGTTTAACCCCGTGTCCTTGCACAGGCAAATTGAGGTTCAGGTCCATACGGAGCGTACAGCCGTTCACAATACGGGCACAAATGTTGTAGTCTATTTGTGTTTCTCCATTGTGGTGGGACTTTGGAGGATGAACGTTGAGATTTATAAGAGCACAGGGTGATAAATACGGTCTGAATTTGTATGTAATAAGGTAGGGCACTGATCAGGGGTTGGCAGGTTTGCGTTTCATTCCGAGCAGGTCCCGTGGTATAAGAGGCGGTCTCCATCTCCCATGCGCTCGAGTTGCTGTGTTACCCTTCTAAGGCTGCGATCTTCATGAATCTGTTGGCTTTTTTTCAATTAATCTCATCTCTATATTGACTGGCATCGCTTTTCCATTTTCTCATCAACATCTCTCACGTTATATTCTTAGTTTTTTCGGTAAAGTCACGTTGAAGAGAAACAACAGAATAACAAAATATATATAAAACAATAAAAAATTATCACGACGTTTCGACCATAACTCAAACGGTCATCATCAGGTGTGTCGGTTTGCATAAATTTATTTTAAAACGGCATATTTATTTATATATATAAAAAAAAACGTTTGCGTCACGCGCAACGATTGGCAGTTTGCCCAGGACTAGTCCATCTATTTTTTGAAAAGAGGAGGGGGGAGACGAATTTTTTATGTATGCTGTCTGAAAGCCACTGTAAGCGTGAACAATCAATCAAGAACTGAAATGATTTATCAAATCTTTCCAATGATTGCTAAGATAGAATCCATCTTCTCGGTTGAAATTGTCTCTGTGCTTGTATATGTGGATAGCCTCATGAACGAATCTCTCATGGAAGCCAGATGGCTTACAAAGAACCTCCGTCTTGGAAAAGTCAATGGCATGTGAGCCTACTGAATTAGAACAATGATCTGCTACGGCCGAGGTGTTGGTCCTACCGTGTTTAAGGTCTGCTTTATGTTCACGAATGCGGTTCGAGATATGGCGTTTGGTTTCTCCAATGTAACTACTACCACAGAGGCAACTTAGTTTGTAGACACCAGGGTATTGTATGTCCGGAATCACATCTTTTACAGACGGAACCAGATCACGGATTTTATGTAATGTGTTGAAACGGACCTGGATCTTGTGTTTATTCAAGATTTTGGAGATCTTTTTTGTGATCCCAGCAATGTAGGGTAAAGTGATGGTTTTGAAAGGCTCCTCAAGAGGGTTCTTCTTCATGGTTTGAGTGATAGCTTTGCGGATTGTATAGTCGGAGTAACCATTAGCCCTAAGAGCTTGGTGTACGTGCTTGAGTTCACTGCTTATGTGTTCCTGGTCGGATATGCATTGGGCTCTATGATACAGAGTCTTGATGAGAGAATTCTTCTGTGATGGATGGTGGTGGGAATCCGGTTTCAGATAAGCATCCGTATGGGTAGCTTTCCTGTAGACAGAGTGGCTCATTGAACCATCAGGTCTCTTTTTAATTAGGACATCCAAAAAAGGTATCTTGCCATCTATTTCGACTTCCATGGTAAATCTGATGGCTGGGTGTATGGAATTGATGTGGTCGAAGAATTGGTCTAGAGCAGGCCGGCCATGTGGCCAGATGACAAAAGTGTCATCCACGTACCTCTTCCATAAGGTTGGGCGCAGAGTGGCAGTCTGGATGGCGTCAGTCTCAAATTTCTCCATGAAAATGTTAGCTATAACTGGAGAAAGGGGGGAGCCCATTGGGGTGCCCTCAGTTTGTTTGTAGAAAGTTCCATTCCAAGTGAAGTATGTATTGGTTAAACAGTGTCTCACCAGGGGGGGTACCTCAGTGTTTAGTCCTTGATGAACCAAGTCTTCAATGATTGCAATGGTGTCAGGTACAGGAACCTTGGTGAATAAGGAAACTACATCAAAACTGACAAGCAGGTCGTCTGGGGACAGGGAAATACCCTTGATTGTTGATACCAGGTGAGTAGAATTTTGTACCGCAGAGGTGGTCTTTCCAGTGAAAGGACGCAGGATTTCAGACAAAAAACGAGCTAGTTTGTAGGTAGGGGAGCTGATAGTAGAGACTATGGGACGAAGAGGTGTATCAACTTTATGTATTTTTGGTAAGCCGTATAATCTTGGTGGCCTGGCAGCAGAAGGTTTCAACGAAAACTGTTTAGATTGATCAATTAATGCGGTTGAATCAGAAATTATTTTGTTGGTTTGTGTGACGAGGCTGTTGGTGGGATCTCTTTTTATTTTTGTATAACTACCATCGTCGAGTAATTCTTTAATTTTGTTGTTGTATTAATAAGAGATCCCACCAACAGCCTCGTCACACAAACCAACAAAATAATTTCTGATTCAACCGCATTAATTGATCAATCTAAACAGTTTTCGTTGAAACCTTCTGCTGCCAGGCCACCAAGATTATACGGCTTACCAAAAATACATAAAGTTGATACACCTCTTCGTCCCATAGTCTCTACTATCAGCTCCCCTACCTACAAACTAGCTCGTTTTTTGTCTGAAATCCTGCGTCCTTTCACTGGAAAGACCACCTCTGCGGTACAAAATTTTACTCACCTGGTATCAACAATCAAGGGTATTTCCCTGTCCCCAGACGACCTGCTTGTCAGTTTTGATGTAGTTTCCTTATTCACCAAGGTTCCTGTACCTGACACCATTGCAATCATTGAAGACTTGGTTCATCAAGGACTAAACACTGAGGTACCCCCCCTGGTGAGACACTGTTTAACCAATACATACTTCACTTGGAATGGAACTTTCTACAAACAAACTGAGGGCACCCCAATGGGCTCCCCCCTTTCTCCAGTTATAGCTAACATTTTCATGGAGAAATTTGAGACTGACGCCATCCAGACTGCCACTCTGCGCCCAACCTTATGGAAGAGGTACGTGGATGACACTTTTGTCATCTGGCCACATGGCCGGCCTGCTCTAGACCAATTCTTCGACCACATCAATTCCATACACCCAGCCATCAGATTTACCATGGAAGTCGAAATAGATGGCAAGATACCTTTTTTGGATGTCCTAATTAAAAAGAGACCTGATGGTTCAATGAGCCACTCTGTCTACAGGAAAGCTACCCATACGGATGCTTATCTGAAACCGGATTCCCACCACCATCCATCACAGAAGAATTCTCTCATCAAGACTCTGTATCATAGAGCCCAATGCATATCCGACCAGGAACACATAAGCAGTGAACTCAAGCACGTACACCAAGCTCTTAGGGCTAATGGTTACTCCGACTATACAATCCGCAAAGCTATCACTCAAACCATGAAGAAGAACCCTCTTGAGGAGCCTTTCAAAACCATCACTTTACCCTACATTGCTGGGATCACAAAAAAGATCTCCAAAATCTTGAATAAACACAAGATCCAGGTCCGTTTCAACACATTACATAAAATCCGTGATCTGGTTCCGTCTGTAAAAGATGTGATTCCGGACATACAATACCCTGGTGTCTACAAACTAAGTTGCCTCTGTGGTAGTAGTTACATTGGAGAAACCAAACGCCATATCTCGGACCGCATTCGTGAACATAAAGCAGACCTTAAACACGGTAGGACCAACACCTCGGCCGTAGCAGATCATTGTTCTAATTCAGTAGGCTCACATGCCATTGACTTTTCCAAGACGGAGGTTCTTTGTAAGCCATCTGGCTTCATGAGAGATTCGTTCATGAGGCTATCCACATATACAAGCACAGAGACAATTTCAACCGAGAAGATGGATTCTATCTTAGCAATCATTGGAAAGATTTGATAAATCATTTCAGTTCTTGATTGATTGTTCACGCTTACAGTGGCTTTCAGACAGCATACATAAAAAATTCGTCTCCCCCCTCCTCTTTTCAAAAAATAGATGGACTAGTCCTGGGCAAACTGCCAATCGTTGCGCGTGACGCAAACGGTATTTTTTATATAAATAAATAAATAAATATGCGGTTTTAAAATAAATTTATGCAAACCGACACACCTGATGATGACCGTTTGAGTTATGGTCGAAACGTCGTGAGAATTTTTTATTGTTTTATATATATTTTGTTATTCTGTTGTTTCTCTTCAACGTGACTTTACCGAAAAAACTAAGAATATGAATTACTGCAGTCACGAAAGCTTTAAATCAAAATTAAATCTCTCACGTTCTCTACGGTTTGGTTCTTTGGGTAAAGTCATGTAGGTATGAAATAAAATAAATTACGACGTTTCGGGCGCAACACAAGCGTCCATCATCAGGTGGGGATGGACGTTTGTGTTGCGACCGAAACGTCGTGATTTATTTTATTTTATATCTACGTCACTTTACCGAAAGAACCAAAGAGTATGGATTCCTGCAGTCACGAAAGCTTCAAATCAACATCTCTCACATTTAATTACAAGTGTCTCATCCGTTCCTCTCACTCCATCTCTGTCTCATGTCTCCATCTCCTCTCTCATCTCACTTCATCTCTGTATCATGTCTCATTCTCCTCTCATTTCACTTCATCTCTGTCTTGTCTGCATCTCTCCTCTCATCTCACTCCATCTCTGTGTCAAGTCTCCATCTCCTCTCTCATCTCACTCCATCTCTGTGTCATGTCTCCATCTCTCATCTCACTCCATCTCTGTCTCATGTCTCCATCTCCTCTGTCATCTCACTCCATCTCTGTGTCATGTCTCCATCTCTCCTCTCATCTCACTTCATCTCTGTCTCATGTCTCCATCTCTCCTCTCATCTCACTCCATCTCTGTCTCCATCTCCACTCATCTCACTTCATCTCTGTCTCATGTCTCCATCTCCTCTCATCTCACTTCATCTCTGTCTCTTG